ATCTCAATTTATATCATCATTTATTGAATAAATATTCCACATATTAATTCTATACCATTGTCAACTATTCGTGACAATACAAAATTATATATTAGTATCACTATGCTCTCAATATATATTATCATCAACAATATTTTAATCTTTCATCATAAAATTCAATATATTATTTTTTAAATATTGAACAAGCGCCCAATGAGAAAATCGCAAAATTTGAAAAGAGCTAAAAATTAAGAACCTCTTTCTCAAATTGTCCATATCTTCATTGGCATTACATGTATTGAAAGAATTCATATATTCAAACTTTAACTTTGTCAACTAATCAGGACAAAAAAGTAAAGTTTTTGTTAGCTCGCGATTATTATCTTTAAACTATATAAAAACTTTTTCATTTACTGAAGTAGGGTTCAATGAAAATTTGAAAAATTTGTAAAAAAAGCGCAAATGTTCCACATCTTCAATGACATTCTGTTTAAAACCTGTAGTCGTTGCCATTGCGTGCTGTAATTTATTCCATCTTTTCATACTTTATCGTTGTCAGTAAAATCATACAATCAATATGATAATTTTTCAACAAAAAATTATCAAAATTGACTTTTTTGAATTGTTGAAGTAGCGCGCAATGAAAAATCGGAAACAAAAATATAGTTTGGTTACTGTTTACTGTCACTAAAATTTTGAAAAGCTCGCAAATTAACATTTTATCGCATAATTAACAAAACAATAACTTTACAATTTAGAGATGCGTGCAATGAATGATCGAAAAATTTGGGGAAAAGCGCAAATGTAAACCTGTGGTCGTTGCCATTGCGTGCTGTAATGTATTCCATCTTTTCATACTTTACCGTTGTCAGTGGATTCATACAATCAATATGACAATTTTTCAACATAAAATGTTCAACGTAAAATGTTTTATAGTAGAATGCCAATAAAAACTTGGAACATTTGCGAAAGAGCTGGATTCCACAACTCATCATCTTTTTCTCTAATTTTTTGATATTTCATTACGCGCTACTTCAAAATTAAAAAGGGTCAACTTATATAATTGTATGTTGAAAAATAATCATTTGAGAAAGAGCTGAAGTTCTTAGTTTTTTAGCTCATTTTAAATTTTCTATTTTTATATGGCGCTGGTTCCATATGTGACGACTCTTGTTTTATCTGTTAAATGATGTCATGTGATATTGTTTCCATATTTGGTGTTCTGGCATTGGGGACACTGGGGACGTTGTGACACTGTCGATCTGTTGTTTTATTTGTGTCTTGTTGGCGTGTGCTGTGGGTTATCAGGGATGTTTGTTTAGGGTTTTGTGACTGCAGGATGAGGATTTGTTGGAGGTTTCTATGCTAGACAGTAGGCCGATATTATTGTTTTAATACAGTGCCATTGCAGTTATTTTAGCGTCGTATTTTTGGTTGTTGTCAAGGAAATTAGCTATCATCAGTACTGTTCAAAGTGTTTTTATTGTGTATATTCTGTTTTCTTGCATTGTGCGGCCTGGTACTTGTCGCTTTATTGTATGCTTGTCGTTTTGTTTGAGTATTGGGTTGAGATTGTTAATTAATAAATAGAACAAAATAGTATAAATTGAAGTGAATATTGAGAGGAAACTTGACGTCAGATCATATTGGAAGATATTCTGAACTTGGATAATTATTTCATAGACTGCCGGTACGCTAAACATATTTAAAAATAATATATTTAATTTGTATGATAAAATTTTAAAATATTTTTTGGAATGTATGTTGAGAGCATTTTAAAACCAAAATATGATATCGTTTTGTCAAGATTAGTTGACAACGGTAAAGGATGAATAGGTGGAATATTTATTCAGTAAACATTATTCAATAAACGGTGATATGAATTAAGATAACTAAAAATATAAATTTGCCCTTAATAACGAATTGGCAATTGGTCAAGTATGGGCCAATACATCCATTAACATCACACAATGTCAAAGAATATTTGAAACATTTGCAAAAGAGCTGCAATTCACAATTTCTCAGCTTTTTCCAATTTTTTGATCATTCATTGCACGAATCTCGAAATTTTAAAATTATCGTTTTGGTAATTATACGATAAAATGTTAATTTATGAACTTTTTTTGAATTTTAGTGACAGAAAACAGTAACCAAAATATTTCTTCGGTTTTGTATATCAATTATTTGAAAATGAGTTTCTAATCTTTCACCTTGTCTCTCTAACTACATATCAGATTATAGAAAATCGCAAAAGATATGTGATATCATATCAAAACAAGTATCTCTTACATAATTTTATGATAAATTATTAGATAGTAATTATTAGATTTCATAAGTATCTGACAGTACCGTATATACACGTGAAATGTTTTAGTGTAGAAAGCGAATGAAGACTTGGAATACAATATCCGAATCTGAATCTATTTGTAAAAGAGCTGGATTCCAAAACTCATCAGCTTTTTCTCAAATTTTTTTAATTTTTTATTGCGTGCTACTTCAACAATTCAAAAAAGTCAATTTATATAATTTTATGTTGAAAAATTATTATATTGATTGTATGGTTCCATTGACAACGGCAAAGTTTGAAAAGATGGAAAACTTTTCAAGCAAGCAATGGCAACAATAGGTTTTAAACAGAATGTCATTTAAGATGTTGAACATTTGCGAATCAGCTTTTACGGCCACGGAACACTACACTTTTTATCTCGCTTCGCGGAACACCAAAAAATGAACGGGTAAAATTGATAAAGAAAAGCGGTGTAATCTGTAATGTAGCGGTTCCCAATGGGTTCGTCGTGGCGAGTTGCCAACAGAATTGCGTTAAACATACCTAAAATATGATTGAATATTTTACATATATATTTCATTTATTATAAATGTTTTATTGTTTCTTAATTTAAATGCTGTGTATATAAATCAACAAATTCATTTACCTTTCTATGCCGTTTACTTTCCATCACGTAGTGTTTGTCTCTAATGTTACGTTAATGGAGATAGATGTACTTGCTGCAACTTCGCGAGCTGCAGTTCATTTATCTGCTGAATCGAGTTTAGCGAACACGAGTATTTTTTTCAGCATTTCGAGTAAAACCCGGCGAAAATGGCGGAAGAAGAGTTGACCATTTGCATTTATTATTTAGGCCAAGGGGCGGCAACATACGGCCATCCGGTCCGCGACGATCCGCTGAATTATAGTAACAAAACAGCTGTTTTGACGATTATATTCTTTAAGCAACAGAGTTTATTGTGAGACACGTGTAGACTAAATTATATTATGACCCAACAAGTATATAATCCACAATTACTCATATGAGCTTTTAAATATAAATGGACAAATGGAAACAAAACGCAGAAAAGTTGATGTTAAGTGAAAAGGGTTCAATGGCTCCGAAAATATTCATTCAAATGGAATTTTTGAGATGCAATGCAATGAGGCAATAAATCTATATTCTATTCGAGAGATGTATGACTGCTTGATTTTTATTATAAAAAGTATCATTTGTTCGGTTTTCAAATTGCCAATGACTTGCAACCTTTAAAGTGACACAATTCACCTCTTTGCCTAGAAATGAGTGGTTGGACTTTGTCAAAAACTTCCGTCGTTCCATATATCCCTATTTTGGCCAAAAGCTAAACTGAAAATAAGAACCAAAATGTTATTGGACACAATGATCGTTTGGACCAAAAGTTTGGGTATTTTGGGTCGTTGTTCTTGTTCTTGAACATAGTTTATTGAAAAGTCGCTTTTCTCTTCGATTACTGGACCAAATGCTCTAAAATTTCCAGTGGTTGAAAATGGAATTTTTTTCTAGAAAGCTATTACTTTCTTTATTTCTAAATTTTGTATGAAATCTGATATTTCGCTGTATTATATTATCCATGAGAAAACTAGCTGTCTGGTTTGATTCTTGCTACGCGAAACTCGAAATTTTTTTTTGAGGGTAGCGGTAGCGTCAAGGGTAACGACTGCTTCGCTCTGTGTAATGTGTCCATATATTTGAGCATTTCTTTGTTGTAATTTTAAATGTAATATGATATTTTTTGCACGGAGTAATTGAACTGAATTAGCCTACTGTAATTGATCCAACTCCATTGGAGGTTAATTGTTAATTTAGAAATATTCTAAATACCACTATAATCATATATACACTTTATTAATAAAGAAAGGGAAAATGCCATGTGGCAAACAGAATATAAACTGCGAAGAACAGAATCTCATTAAAATCAATTTGGCGCATATTACTGTGGCCTCACCTTCTCTGCCTTAGGTAGCACTGGACTATACAATTTTAGCTGAAGCGGCAAACGAACCACAAATATACATTGCTATTCAAACAAGGTGTAGAAAAACGATCCATATCGACACTCATTGTCCAACGAGCTAGACTGGCCTCTATCGACAAATGTTCCGAAAATCCCAATTCCTACACCATTATTATAACATCTCCGGCTATTTTTTTTTTCATGGTGTTCACTCATAAGTCGATTGAAAAGGCGCAGCACGTTTCTGTCTATGGTTATCAAGTCTAGTTATCAAGATATTGATGTAGATGGGCGCGTTCGTTATAAACCTTCTAGGTTTAGCCCATTTCCCGATCTTTCAGTCGCCCTTTTTTTTTATTTGTGTTCTGTGTTGTAGACGAAGGATCGAAATAAAATTGTATTGTATATTTCATGTAATAATTACATAGTATCGGAATCGCTTTTTGAAATACAGGCGTATCGGTATCAACGTTTTTTCGTTGGTATCGGCACATCTATATCTGATGGTGGTTACGTGAAGCACTCTACGGAGGCGAGGAGTACAGAAGTACTATCATACAAAACTACACCCCTACGGGATTCGAACATGCGAACCCACTCAAGGTAATCAGAGATGCGTCGGCGAGCGGATTCCTAACGCTTACACGATGCGCCACAATGCCGAGACAATTTTGAAATCAATTAAAAGTAGTAGATAAAAAGATAAGACACAACAGCAATAAAATTCCCTGCCCGAACGTTAAAAGGAAATTAGATTATTTTACGTATCCATAATATGTATTATGTGCCCAGTCGAGATGAATAAACTAGGAAGTATAGAAAAAAGAGAAAAATAGCCATAAAAAAGTACAGTTTAAAACGCATAATTCATTGCACGAAGTTGCATCTCATTCCCAAAATTTCAAATAGAATCTGGTAAGGAAGGAAGCCCAAAAATGCCCAGATCTAAATCACAAAGAGACTTTAGCACCAATGTTGCTCCCTCGTGATATTCTTCTGGAATGTTGGGATCAGGAACCATAACAACTTGCATACCTGCGGCTACTGCTGCTTTTACACCATTGGGAGCATCTTCAATTACCAGGACCTGAATTGTTGTTATATTGAATAAGTACGGTATACATCGAAAACGAATATCCAAATGTACAGAGGACCACCATTGCATAATCCTTTGGGCAGGGTCGTCCAACCTTTTTGGCCAAAGGGCCACATGTAGTTTACTAATAATTGTGCGGGCCACTTGGCAACACGGCATTATGTTCTAGTTTTGCTACACTGACTACAGCTACAGGTTTATGAAAAAACAAACAATACCCGCACAACAAACTTTCACAATTACTATACCTCTAAAACGTTGTTTCCCATCATTTGATGGGGCGCCATCAGTAGTTATTTCCGAAAGTTTCGCCAAGACGCTCGATATTTTCATCACAGGCCATTGCAGACCATTGCCTCTAGTCGACTAGCCAACAGACCATTGCCTCTAGTTGATATCTGCTCCCAGTTGGTTTCCATTCAAAATGACACTCATGGCTCGTTTGAAAGGGCTGGAAGAGCGCATTTTAGGAAAATGAACAAATCGTTTGTATCACATCTTTGTATACTACATCACTCGAAAAATAGTTTTACTCAAACTTTTTTATTCAATTCTGAAAAATACAGCGCGGGCCACTCGAAATGCTTCCGCGGGTTGGACGCCCCTGCCGTAGGGTATGACTTTTTTGCACAATCGTCAATTACAGGTCTCAAGTTATAGGCTGTTGACTTTTAAATTGAGAATATATTTCCAAAACTGATGGGATAAGGACTGATTATTATAGAATAGTATCTAGAAGGAAATGCAGGTATAAAAATGAGATCAGAAACAATTCCCAACAAAAATGAACAAACAATTGTCTGGCATTATGACAAGAATCACCGACACCAAAAGGAAGCTTCCTATTTAATTGAGTAATGACTGACCTTATCTGGACTTGGTGGGGTGGGTTGAAATCTGCTGTTACTAACAATGTAGGCATCGGGATGAGGTTTTCCATACTTAACATCCGGGTCATCACCACAAAGTGTTATATGTTCAAATAATGAAAAGAAATCTTTATGATTGGTTGATTTTAGTGAGAAACCATCAGTCCCAGATCCTATTGTAAACAAACATAAGAGATGGTTTAGTGATCATAGTACATACTAAAATATAACATGATCATAACTGTCTATACTTGGTGAATCTTGCCTCTAACTCCTAGACAATACACCGGATATAGAATTGAAAGTACTTTTATGATGTCGAACAATGAATCTTAAAACACTCATGTATGAGGTGGATACAAAATAAACAATGATAGCAGGTTTTATATATTCGCAAAATACTACACGGTTTCATTATAAATCAAAGTCTACCCATTGCCTGGACCTTAAATCCAATGCACAACATTATAAATCTCTAAATTAGAGAAGAATTTTTATATTCCAGCAAACTTTCAAACATGTTTTAGGAAATATTTTAATTAAATGAACTTGCAACACTAATACAACAGTAGACCTACCTAAGTATTTACAGAAATGATTATAGATTTCAGTAAGATCTCTATAATTATCATGCACATGCTGCTCATTTCATAAGTTGATTATTTTATTATAAAAAAATTACCTGTGCATATGGCAATTGGAATATTATGATGTTTAAAATGTTTCACCAGCTTTTCAACCCCTGTACAGAATAAAAAATTACTTCATTAGTTCACTAGACAATTTTTATTATGATATTGAATATTGGCATACCAAATCACTCAACATTGTGACAGAACATGATACAAAATCATTTTTCTGTACAATAACCAAATAATGTTAATTCAAAATTCAATCTAAAATTGTAAAATAGCCTACCAAATATAAACCATGAATTTAGAGGACACTTCTACCTGGTAATAGCTTTGCACTTGGAAATACCTTTGGCATTTCAGCTTTCAATAAACCAAGCCATTCATCTACTGTTATAGGAAGTCCCAGTGTTTCAATGACATATGCTGCAGCCACATGTGGCTTCTTTCCCCATTATAGGAAGCTTGATAGACCAGTCATATACTTTTCCATATTTGGCACAAAGTTTTTGATAGACTTCCGTGTATAAATCTTCTGTATCTGAAATTGAAATTTGTGTTAGTGTGTGAGAAATGAATTATAGTATAATAAATTCTGATTTTTCGATTTCTTACAGAACATCACCATTGAAGAATTTGTCTACCATTAACAATAAAAATTAAGAGCATCAAACAACAGGAAAATAAATTCGTTTCCTTGCTTACCTGAACAATGGTCACTTATGAATAGTTTTAATTATCAATGAAATTCCAAATGTGTGCTACTACAATTGTGTAAATTTATTGTATAGAGATGTGGTGATTGCCGGCACACACAATATTGACTATTATTTCATCATATATCATATATAAAGTGTACAGTCAAGAAGCTTTCCATAGGAACTAATAGCAAATTGAAGTAACATACTTAGCAACACTCCATCCATATCAAATATAATATGTGTCACAGGTTTATATTCTAATGACATTTTGTTGATTAATACAAATATCTGTACTGATTAAGATATTAGAAACTAAAAAAAGACAAAAATACTGCTTATACTAAATATAGATAACATTTATTAAAAGATAACTTCAAAAAATAAAATGATTGCTGCATTTGGTATATAACAGACCTAATTCCGATGGATGAACTGATAAATAGTTCTTGATGCAGCAATGACACAAACACATAAATATGTTCTAAATAACTACCTAAACTATAGAAGCTGTACCATTATCAAATTTAAAGATATTTTTGAATTTTAGCAATATGAACGTAAAATTCATTTTGTCTATTTTTGTCCTAATATTAATAATTGTTACCGAACAGTACTAGAGGTTTGAATGGAAAGTTTGAGCTAATATCATCAAATAAGTATATGAAAGCAATACCAAAAAGTATGTGCTATCAATTGGATTTCTGCGAACTACCTATTTAAAATGTTAGAAATAACTACTTTAAAACTCAATCTCATCCATTAACTTTTAGTAAAGTTATCCATAAAAATTTTCAAACAAAACTTCACCACAGCAGAGTTAAAAATTATTTTATCAACTAACATTGCATTTTGAATCAAGCATAATTATTATCAAAAATTTCAAAATAAATACACACGAAGGCAAACAATATTACAAATTATATAGAATATAGTACCGTATTTAAAACAAAATGCTTCGAATTAATATTCAATTAAACACAAAGTGCTACTGCAAATGATAAGGTATATTCTCAACCTGATAAATTTAATGCAAAGCTGCATTGTCACAGTGCATTATATCTGTGAAGTTGATTAAAGTCAGGTTGACATGACATGCTGGGCAAAAGTATTCAAACTCATAACATATGATTTTACTTATAATCTCATTTTTGTTATTGATCAAACAATGGGTGAATATAAATAGTAAAGTTGTCAAAATCTGGATTATGTATTTGATAAGCACCAATATTACATATGAAACTTTCAGAGAAGCAATACTTAGAAATTACATTGTTGACATTTTGCTTAAATAAATCCTTTTTTTGTAGATACATAACAAAAAGCATTTGTGTGTACTACATACATACCGGTACTGACAAAATAATATTTATTATGCAGCATTGTCTTGTGTATATTGAACAGAGCAAAAAGCCAAACAGCAGAATAAGTCAAACTAAAATACAGTTAATAATTGTTCATGTTAGATATTGAAATATAAGATATACAGAATAAAAAGCATTCATCTAAGAATAGGTCAGTTTCGATAAAATACAAAGCATAAAATTTAGAAAATATCAAGTAATAAATAGGCTATACAAAAAAGCCAAAAGCGATGCGGGGTCCTCTGATTTGTAATATAATATTATGATTATGAATAACTGATTTAAAATGTTGAATATGACAAATCATTTACAAGAGCAGAGAGCTGTCATAGGAATGCACAACATCATTTTCATTTTTGTAAATTTTTGTCCATCAATTCTTTCAATCATGAGAAATCACAAATATAAAATCTAGAAAAAATCTTACGCCACTAGGTATATAATGCTCAGTTCCAAAGTTATCCAATTCGTAACTACTTGATATTATTTCAAAAAAGTACAAATTTGAGACCATTGTTTCAAGCCGTTAAATGGTAATTAAAACAGAAAAAAACTAAATCTGAATATAAAGTAATGCACTATTATGATCTAATGGAGTTAATGAACTAGGACCACACACTTGATATGGGCAGTAGCAATATCCATGATATATTAAGACTGCATTACGATACGATAGCTTAAGATAAGCCTGAACCAAAGATAAAAACAAGCCTCAAAAATAAATATAAAATTCTCAACAAATCCATTGAACTTCAGACAACACTGCATGGAAAACATTGTAAGTTACACAATTCTAGAGAGCTCTAAATGTAAAAAAAAAAACATGCATCCAGAATCCCATGCCAAGCGGAAAGAACCTTCTCATTTTGATGTGACATTCTAAGTGACCTGATAGCTTCAGTGCGGTACATGCAATTGAAACAATCCTTATGATAAAATTATTTTCACTCCATCCAAAACCACTGTTGAGCTTTACTGTTTTCATCACAATCTCTGATGAAAGTTAATGCATTTTGTCCTTTAACTTCGCCCTCTACGCATTTATTAGTTGCAGGATTCCTGAATAATTCACCATCTTGAATCCATATTTGTAATTCTGGTACTTCTCTGTGATCTTCTACACAATCAAGCATAGTTACACCATCCTCCGATTTCATTGCACTCATGCACATTTCTTTTTCAGAATTAAACCGTATTTCGTGTCTGGATGTATATTCGAAAAATTGATTCCCCCCTTGTCCATGACAGCCATACATTGCTACTTTTCCACCTGTAGGATTTGACGGAGGTGGGGCATAATCCAAACAATATGTATTGAACCCTCTGTTATGAAGAGACCCATAACTTCCTGGCTTGTCTTCAGGGACATGTAAATCTGGATATATATTTTCTAGATACCACTTGAAAGATTTACAATCGAGGTGTTCACGCAAACTTATCCTTTCACTTATGTCCCCATATTTTTCATATTTGGCGGGGGGATTTCTAATGTAAAAATGTTTTTTGTATTCATCCATCCAAACTTCTGCTGCACGAAGTGTGTTGGGCAAAAACTTGGGTCGTGGATAAGGTGCTTGTTTTGGAAAAACATGTCCTACATGAGAACATGGAATTGTTTCTAGCACTCCGCCACACATCCATACTCTGAAAGATAATTCAAGGTTTTCACCACCCCATATTTCCATGCCAGTGTCGTAAGTACCAATGTGCGAAAAATAGGCTTTACTGACAGCAAAGAGTCCACCAGCCATAGTTGGAGAGCGAATCGGATCAACAGGTCCTTTCCTACGTTTTCGTTCTGCATATGGAATAGAATGCCATTGAAAAGTTAATCTCCAATCAAACCCACCAATTTGGGGTTCATGACCACCATAGTAATATTGGAATGTATCATAATCAATAGTGTCGATAACTGGAACAACAACTGCTGACTCTTCCTGCATTATTCGTTCAAGTAAAGGTTCAAGCCAACCATCCATGCATTCGCAATGGCAATCCAAGAATGTTAGAACATCCCCTGTAGCATGTGAAGCACCAAGCAAACGAGCTCGCACTAGTCCTTCACGCTTCACAGTTCGTATCAAGCGAACTCTTTCAATATCTTTTAAATACTTTTCTAATTGTTCTTTGAGATACGGTTTGTCACTATAGTCATCCACCAGAATTACTTCCCTCAACAAACCAGCAGGTGAAGAGTGAAGTACACTGAATATTGTACGAATTAGTGTTGTCCATCCTTCATTATAAAAAGCAATAACTACAGAAGTTGTTGGCATATTCCGATAATCAAAAGGAGGACGAGATATACATTGTTCATGTCGAGTATCCTTGATTTTACGATGGAGGGATATTTTTTCACTCACATACTGATTAACAGCATATATCTGAATGCTTTCCTCTTGTTTTTCCCTTTCACCAGGTTCCATCAGTCTTACAGCATGACCTCCTTGTCCTAAAGTTTTGGGGTCGTTTTTTGGTCTTTCCAAGACAGGTTTTTGCATGTCTTTGTACACACTATCAATGATTATCTCGGAACTAGAAGAGTCATCTCCTAGTCTCCTCATTGAATTAGTTTTGGTTCCAAGATAAAGAATGTAAATTATCACAGCAACTACAACAAACAACAGTAACTTGGCTCTTCGGGGTAATTTCCATGAAAAGGTTTTCATGGTCAAATTGGGAAAGTGTGTTATTAAAAATTTAATTAAAAAGATTTCTGTAAAATAGGGAGGTCGATGATTTAGTGATTAGACATAGAAATTTTTAAAAGATCTCAAACAAATAATATTCGTAATAATGGTCCATAAAATCTAATGAAATGTCTATCTGATCTATATAAATTATGATTGCTTAAATCCTAGTCTGGATTTCATTCCCTTTTTCCATGAGAAGTCAGGCGTGCAATCACATATCCCAGCGTGCAAACATAGAAGTCGCGGCGTGCAATCAGTGACCACCAGGGCTGGGAAGCCGGAGCTGGAGTAGTAGCCTGCAGCCATGGAGCTCTGACAATTTGGTGGAGCTGAAGCCAATCTTACAAGGAGTCAGAGACGAGGCTACCAGAAATTTTAGTGGCTCCAGCTCCAAACCATCTTACTATAATTTTTTTATAATTTTTTAATGCTTCATACAAATAACAAAATCTATTCTTTTCAGCTCTAAAATTCTCATAATGTTCAATTTATAATATTAGGTTTCAAGTTGAATTCATATATTCAGACCTTCAGATATTCAAAATTAGGAAACAAAAAATGTGTTACACACATGTGTTATCGATACAAGCATGACAAGATCCATCTTGCCAGGTGCCCTTGTTTCAGATACAGAAAGAGTTTGTTTTATTGAACCAAAAGACAGGACATTTTGGAATTCTGGAATTGGAGAACTGTCACTTCCACAAAACTGCATTTGGGCAGATATTTCATGGTAATCTGGTAATAGTCACACTTAAAAACCCCAATGGATATGGAGCCGGAGCCCAGCTTCGAAGCAAAAAATGAATCAATCAATCAATTGGAGCTCCGGAGAATGGAGCCAGAGTTTGAATATACTGCGACTCCAGAGGTGGAGTCGTAGCCACTGTGATTTCGATAGCCCTGGTGACCACAAAACGCCAACCGTTGGAGCCCGTGAGAAAACCTACCAAAACCGTGTGAAAACCTCGATTCTTAGTGTGCAACTGATAGAATTGTCCTATTTGAAAAAAATCTTGAATAAATAAGTATTAAATTATTTGATAGGAACATCCCAACAGGGTCTTTGAGCCTTTGACACCCAGTGACGATGCATATTTTTGCATAGATCAAAGGTCAGTATTATTAATGCTGTAATGGGTGCAAACAGAAAGCAATAAAAGTCAGAAAGTAGCGAAAAGACTCACGTTTCAAGACAGGCAGACAGGCCCATCTCAGCATTTAGTTGTTAATCGACATGGGTTTTGGTGTGTTTGTGAAAGTCGAAAGGTGTTTGTGAAAGTCGAAAGATGTCTGGTATCGAATCAGTCAGTTTGCAATATTAGAACTGTAAAACCTGTTACCCGTACCGGTACGGTACTGTGTTAGCACTGTCAGACTGTTTGTAGGTGGCCGTTCCATTCCACCAGATCCTTACTGCTGTACTGCTGTAGCGTACCGTAGCCTACGCCCTACCAGTACTGCAGTACTGTCAGATATAATTGCTGAATTGTGATGGTACGGCACGTTACGGTACCGGTAGCTGGTGAGAAATAACGAATTTTCGGGCGTCCAAAATGTACGGTACCTATTTCGCCCGCGTGCATTTTCGGGGAGCACTAGAGTAACCGGCGTCTACAGACAGACAGAGACAGGTAAATGGGCCTGGCACGGAATGTCTAGCTTCATAAAACCTCTCATTGTTATTTTACATGCACTCCTACTCTCCGCCTGTACACTCAGTAGGACAATTGCAGTCTTCCGGTCTTGCTGCTTTGTAATAGAGATGTACCGATACCACTTTTGTCGCCGATACCGATACCGATCCGATACCAGCTAAAAACGCCGATACCGATACCGATACGCCGATACTACAAAAAGGCCGATATCACCGATATTCCGATACCGATACTATGTAATTATTACTTTATTAGGTATGCTGTGTAGGGCAGACGGGTTAAAACAATGGTCTTTAAGCGTTGTTCATAGTACACATTATTTCAGATTGAAAAAAAGGTATATATATCACATAATATGAAATTAATGTTTGGTATCCATATGCTGTAACTGATTAAGATACATTGTACAGTAACGCTAGTAATCTCGGTGTTCAATTAGAAAACTCATAAGCCGGGATGTCCAATTTGAATTTAATGTTAATATCGCGAGCTTCAAATATCGTTATTCGTGTTTAAAAGAATATCGAATATCACCCACACATTCTAGCGCCGCCGTCCTACGTTCAAATTAAAAGCATTTTACAAATATTTAATTTAGTGGCTAATCGTAATCGTCGACGCAATAAGTCAAAGCCAACATGAAAGAATATCAATCAGCAACGACAAAAAGAAGGCCCACCGATAACCGTTGAGGATGTTTTTTTACTTCACTATTTTATAATATTTTACAATTGCTATCCTATATTTTGAGACAGTCTAGGGCTAGGCGGTCAAGTCAATATATCTATAAAGAAATCGTGTAGTTAAGCAGAATTAAAATTAATACCTGTGTAGTGGGATAATTGTATCGGAATTTAGTTTATCGATGTCGACGGACTAAATGACACTTGTACTTGACGACAAACAGTCAGAATTTATACCCGTGCCAAAAGTCCATGTGCCGTTAATAAGGAAGGACCCCAATTTCACTGTATGATTTAAAACTGAGCGCCTAGTTGCTTTTTGTTATGTGCTGTGTTGATATATTTCTTCATAAAAACTATGTAATATTAAAAATGTCAATATAAAAATTTGACAGCGAAAAAAGCCAAATTAGTTGAGCTAGTTTAGCTGAAAAATAGCTAAAAACACGTGAATCCTATTCTCTCGCAGGGGTGGGGACATGTATGGCTCATAGCTCACGATCTCTCCAGACAAAAATAAATTAAAAAGTAGTATTCCAACTTATCTTTTAAAACATTCTGGACCATATCAAAAAGGTAAATATATCGGTAATATCGGCCTTAATCTAACCGATACCGATACATGGCCGATACCGAAAAAATGGCCGATATTGCCGATACCGATACCCGATACCGATACATCGGTACATCTCTACTTTGTAACGCTACCAACATACGGTACCGGTACTCATAATCATAACAAATATTACTGACTCCACCACATACTGACATAAGCAAACCATGTGTGGTGAATATAAGACTTGTATAGTTGGCAACTCGGCTGCTTCGCTATGCTTGAGTAATGGACTACGTCATCGTTTTGCGCGTGTAATGTGCGCTGGTAGTTTTTGAAATATTTTTAAAACTATGAGAAATGTTTAGTAAAATTGATAGTATTTACCAGTTAATTTGATTTTTTGTATATCGAGATGGTTTCATGATTGCATGGAGGGGAACATGTTGAACTATGTTATAGACAAAGTAATTGTTTAATTGCATTAGGGTGGTATTGTCATTATATAGTGATGGTTAGACGATCTAAGAGGAAAGTCTGCATCACACCATGCAAAAACACCTAAACTTAATTATATCACACTATGGTGACAACTCACAGTCACAACCCGTATTTTCATCTTTGTTTGATCTTACTGCTAGATTTTGTATTTTGATGTTGAAGACAATCTGCATTTGGTATACTGTTGGGCTAGATCAGTGGTTCCCAACGACCATGACGGGGCACATTAGTGTGCCGTGAGAAGATTTTGGTGTGCCGCGAAAAGATTTCACTTTTGAATTTATTTCTGGTGATTCCAATTTCCAATCCAATGCGCAAGAATTACCCCACGGCTCTTGCTAACAAACAGAAACGACAAATTTTAGGACTCGTATTTCGGTATTGTTTTAATTCTAAGTTTTGCATAAAGCGCACAACACCGTTTCGTAAAATTGAAACAAACGTCAAACAAGGTAACAAATGATTGTGCAAAATTCTCCCCAAATTTTACCAAGGAATTAATATTATAGTAGAATTGCCATTATTGTCGATTTATTGAATCATTATTTAAACTCAAAATAACTATATATCAGGATTCACGCAATGACTTTGTGGTTTTTTTTTTCACTATTCAATACGAAAATAAAACAGGCACAATAGAAAAGTAAAAATATAAGAAGGTCAACTATCTTTTTCATAGATATCCGCGTTCCTGCGTCATAAATGGTAATATCGTTAGCCTAAAATTGGGATAGATAATTTACAAACGGTGGGAGGGAAGATCAAAGCCGGCGCAAAAGATAAAAATCGTAATAAAATCTTTAACATGTGGGGTTTGTCTTTAACATATGTCGTCGATATGAACGCATATTTCTCCCAGGAATATAAAGCCAAACATCGACTTTCGCCGTTGTGTAATAATTGGTCCTTGTAAAAAACGAGGACAGGCGGAAATAGCTAACCAATATTAGAAATACTAGCGTTCTGGATGCCTGTTGTATATATACTAAAAATACCCGAAATTCGACAATTCGTTCAAAATATTTGAATTATTCGATTTGATATAATAATTCTCTTTTGCCATCCCTTGCAATCTGTAATCACGCCAGTAATCTGGCGAAACGCGTGGTTGTCCAAACACCGATGCAATGAAACTTAATAAAACCTTCATTAAAACTAGTGAATTGCACTACCTCACGCAAGCGTAGTAGAATTGACGATTATTTCATATCTCGAACACAAAAACGGTTAACTTTTTTGAACAGTTTTTGCAGTCTGAAAAGTCGAATAACCGTTTCGACATAGTAAATGCTATGAATATTGCCATTAGGGTTGCCACTTCTGAATACATTTTTTTCGAATCGAATCTCACATCAAAAATTTTCGAATCGAATCTTCCCGAATCTGATTCCATTAGGCTTTTTTCTAATGCATGAGTATGTTTGCTCAAAGTCACAAAAAAGCTCAAATCTAGAAGAGAAAAACTTGAAAATGAAATACGCTATATAGCAAGGATGATAAGGGTTTTTCAGTGAATAAGCCACACTCATTTCCATCATGATAAAAAAGATGTATGTCATAGATATCACCAATAAACGCATTGATGAAAAACTTGCTGTTGCAACTTATCTGTGACTCTGGGAGTCTTACAATACTGAGTT